CAAAGACTATTTTCGGACGAAGACCTAGTAATTTTTCCATGGCAATGATTCACGAGACTAGGCAAGTTATATTGGAGCGTCGATTTAGAACGCATAGAATTATTCAGAGAGTCATATTGTCACCGTTCGTTTCAATTTCACCGATTATGAGTCACCGTGGCTAAAAAAACATTCGAAATTATATTTTTTTTAGCTCGAGTCCCTTTAGGTTTATACATTATGTAACTACACGAAATCCTTTTGATAACGATGCTTCCTTTTATCTGATAACGGACACATTTTGTACTTTGACTTTTAACAAAATGACTGTGCAAGATTAGATAATAAAATGCGTTTTGAAAATTAACTCGCAAAATTCGAGGTACTCGAGTGCGATTTCGATCGGTTTCTTTAAATTAATCCGAGAAATTTAATCATATCTTTGATGTTTGAAAAGCTTTTAATGCATTTATCGGAGGTTATGTAAGCAATTTTAATAAACATATTTATTTACAATTTTTTATAAATACAAGCTTGAACCGTTGTCCTCTACTCTCCCTGAAAGCCATCGTTTGACAGTTTTTCTTAAATATCTTCGAAAATGTTGATTTTAGAGGAGAAAGTTATAAAAAAAAAATGAAGCTTTTTAAAAGTTCTACAAGAAAGATTATATACATTTTTTACGTAAACCCATTACTTTGGCTATCATGAAAGAAAGTAGTAGAAGTATCCTGGACAGAAATCAAACCACACCGAGATATTTTAAGCCATAACAGCCAAAATAATAGATTTACGTCAAAAATGTATATAACCTTCTTTGTAGAGCTTTTTGTAAACTCCATTTTTTGTTTGAAACTTTTTTCTCTAAAATTAATATTTTCAGATATATTTGGTGAGAACTGTAAAAGACTTTGAAGGCTAAGGAGCAAACGTGGCTCTGCTACCAAAAATCCTTTCAAGGACTTTCTTCCCTAATCAAGGGTGAGCTTTGGTTATAATTTGATCCAATGGGGGCTATTACAGTATTCTACTGTTCAACTTGCAGAAGGTATTTAAATGTCAGGCTCACGTGGCTAGAGATACCTGTACTTGCACAAATAAACACACATCATAAACACACGCATGTACACATAGCAAACACTATCGAACAGTAGGAGATTATTTACACGAGCGATTGTTGTGCTACGAGAAGGGCTATGAGTGAATGACCTCTTACTGTTTTGTAACTGTTGTCTCTCTGTGCGAACACACACGTGTACATATGTCATGTGCGCCCTGATTGTGAGTCAGCTGTTCGTTCAATTGTCTATACTATGGATTATACTAAGCACTATATGAACACTTAATTTTCAATTTTTTATATTTTATACTTGTTCTATCTTAAATTTGTTATTTTTTATATTTGCTATAGTTTAATGTTACTATATTTTAAGCTTGATATATTTTTATTTTGTTATATATTTAACTTGATATATTTTTATTTTGTTATATTTTAAAATTGATACATTTTTATTTTGTTATATTTTAAATTTGATATATTTTTATTTTAAATTGATTAAAAAAAATATTATGATTAAATGTTAACTATTTTTAGAATTTCTAGAATTTTTTCCCAACTTCTTAGTATTTCTTTCACTTTTCATATGTACTAAAAATATACATATATTCTACTTATATCGACAGAATTTATTATAAATAATATTATTGTCTCCGATCATCACAAATCATAAAACTGAAGCATATAACTATACAGGTTAACTTTAAATTCCATGAATGTCAAACGGGGCAAATAAAATAAACCCAAAACACGTAAGAAGGTATGATAATCGATAATGTTATCGACGGTACCGTTTATCAGTCGTTCAAGATTCGGTAATTTAACGGTTTCGTCGAGGAGCGACAATATAATAGAATCAGTATTCTGTCTATTCAAAACCGTTTTGCCAAATGGTCGAGAAAGAAGTGTACCGTAAATTTCTCCTATGAAAGTTTCATGGCATTAACATACGAGCACGCGAATCGATACAGCTTGCGATACATTTTAACGACAAGAGGGAATTCACGGCACTTCGCACCACTGACTGCGTGTTTGATCCAGCTGATGATTTGCTTCCGATCGTAAACACGATCATACCAAAATAACAAGGGGACGAATATCTCGTACATTTCTGACCTTTGAAATGTTCGAATGACCTATACAAAGTTCCAACTGAATGTTATAATTCAAACAATTACATATTGATCCACTTAATTTCAGGAATTAAATGTGGAATCAACAGTTAAGTCAGGTATTTAGCTCTAAGCTTAAGGTGGAACACCTCTGATCGTTTCCGTATCTCGAGCGCTAAACCTACGGGCGTATAATGCGCACATAATTTGAAATTAAAAATGAATAAACAAACGGCGGAAGGTAAATTAGTGCACACGCAGATTCTTTGTCTCGATAGAAAGCAACACGGATGTCGAAGAGATCTTGACAAATTTTGTAATTTAAAAAAGAAAACTTGCGAATGGGTCGGCGTACTGTGTCGATACTTACGTCCACCGTACGGTAAAATGCTGGTTATAACGCGTGATTTCACGTAATGATAGTAATGTATTCGTGGCATCGTTCGATCAATATAAACTAGTCCTAAGGGACTCCACCGTCGCGCTGTATTGTTTCTATCACCGATACGTACACTCGGTAGCAACGTAGGCTTCCCTTCGATCAGAACACCTATGTAAATTTCACAATTTTTTTATTTCTAAATTTTCTAGTTTCCAAATTCCTGAGTTCTCGAATTTCAAAATTCCCAGTTCCTCCAATTTTCTGAACTTCAAAATTCCTAAATTGCTAGATTTATGAATATCACAGTTGTTATGTTTCTCTAGAACCAAATTCTCTTGGTCTTCAAATTCGTATGTTCCTAAACTGGACTTCCGATTCTCTTGATAGTTAAATACTGGATCACAACATCTCTAGATTCTCAAATTTTTGAAATGTAAAATTTCCAAATTTCTAGATCAACTAATTTCTGATTTCAAAGTCCGTGATTCCAAAATCCCTAGACTCGAAAGTCCCGAGATTCGAAAGTCCTTAAACTCGAAAATTCCTAGGTTCGAAAGTCCCTAGACACGAAAGCCCCAAACTTGAAAATCCCTAGACTCGAAAGTCACTAGTTTCCAAATTCCCCAAATACCAAAATCCCTATATTCCAATTTCCCCAAATACCAAATCCCTAGATTCTAAATTCCCCAAATACCAAAGTCCCTGGATTCCAAATTCCCTAAATACCAAAGTCCCTGGATTCCAAATTCCCCAAATAGCAAAATCCCTAGATTCCAAATTCCCCAAATATCAAAGTCCCTAGATTCAAATTCCCCATATACAAAAATCCCTAGATTCCAAATTCCCCAAATACCAAAGTCCCTAGATTCAAACTCCCCATATACCAAAATCCCTAGATTCCAAATTCCTCAAATTCCAAAATCCCTAAATTGCAAATTCCTCAAACACCAAAATCCCTAGATTCTAAATTCCAAAATCCCATAATTGCAAATTCCCCAGACATCAAAATCCCTATATTTCAAATTGCCCAAATACCAAATCCCTAGATTTGAAATTCCCCAAATACCAAAATCCCTAAATCCCAAATTCCCTACGTTCAAAAATCACTAGATCCATAAATTTTCATATTCATAAATTTTCAAGTGCATAAATGTCTAATTTCTAAATTTTTTAATACTGCAAATTTCTTGCGGTTGATAAATTCCGGAGCTAGAATTTACGAAATTGCTACATTTAATAATTTTGTAAATTATATAAGCGTACAAAAATTGTATCACTCTTTTAATATTTTAGTATATCTTTTTTTCAATCAAATTTGTGTTTAGTGGTTATCGTTACTTTAAAATGTTTGTATGTTATTCTCTGATTAATCGTATTTTATGTTCAACCGAAAATTACATTTTAAATGACCATAAATATAGCGTTAACGTGTCCGCATATTCTACAATGTTATTTGTCTGCGCCCGAACGTGTTAAATTAATTTCCTAGAACAGAGTCCCGTTTCTTTGTTGATTCGGCAAAGAAAGCTGAACCGGTTTTTATCGCTAATTTATCACACGGAGATCTCTTTTTGTGGAGCAAGAAAGTGGAAGATATCAACCACATGATTGCGCCGAAAACCTACTCACGGCTGTTCTACCTGAGAGTTTATCGTGCACGGAGGTGCAATTAACGATAAGCACGGCGCGTTTTCATTAACGCGTAGTCTTTTATCAGTGGAAGGTAATAGTGTGTACCAACAGGATTTTTGTTCTTTCCGTTATTATCGATAGTCCGGGAACACAGGACATTATAATTAGTATGCGAAATGACAACTATTTTATTCTTGAAGTGATAAATTTCGTAATTATAGTGTACAAATATATTAATTTATTAATATGTATAAAATGTATAAATTTTCTAAAAATTTATTTTAAGTTTCATAATTGAAAATTTGTAATTGTCAAAGCTTCTAAACTTCAAGTTCTGAATTTTTACAAACTTTCATAATTCTAAACTGAGCGTAGTTTGACAGTCCGCCATTTTGTATTAGAATGTGAGTCTTTTATGCAGCCTCTTTTGTTATGCTTTAACCTTGAATTTGATGTACTGCAAGTGCTATCAAACTACTCTTTTAATTCATTATTTCAGAAATAACTTGAGAAATTATTTCAGACTTAACACGCTTCTACATTGACCACAGTTCGCTAGAACTCACAATCCGCCATTTTGTTTTAGACGCAGTCGCGCATCCTTTACGCTACCACTTCTGTTACTGTTTAACCTTGAAATATTCTACAAGTACCATCATAAAAGTATGAATTAAAAATAATTCATCAAATTATGAGACTTCATGCAATTGAAATTTCTCAATTTTATATTTGAAAATTTGCTCACGTATTGAAAATCGTGTGAAAATTACATATTCAGTGATTTCAAATATTCAGGTGATGCGTGTGAAATTTAGTTCTCATGAACTTAGTGACTTACCCACAAGTCGTCCATGGTGATAGAGTTATCCGTGTAGAAAACTAACACCTCAGCGGTGAGTGGTGATGGTTCTCGCAATTTCGAGGCGAGAAGAAGGCAAGCGGTTCCGAGCAGCTGCAGCTGCGACTTCCTGATCGGGCAAATCGAAAGGAACCTGTCGACGTAGTTCATCGAAAGGGGAAAGACCTCGTCCTGGCATTTCTGCTCCTCGCATACCTGTTACCGATAATCAAACAGATTAGAATCCTGTTGCTCGCGTCAAATGGTTGAAAAGGGTTTCGTTTAACAATTTGTTCAGAGGGGTGAAATCAATGTCTGTATCGTTTCAACTGAATATGATGCGAAATTTGAAGGGCAAAATTGTGAAAGGATTTAGATTCTCGTCACAGTAAAGGGATTTACAGGGTTTTCCTTTGTAGTGAAAGTATTTTGTTGAATGTTTTGTATTGATGAAAAAGGGTGAGACTGTGTTGATCGATTACTTATTAACACTTTTAACAAATATTTGAAGAGTTGGGCAGTTCGGAAATTTTTTCAAGTGCAAACCTAGAAAAATATCGCAAATGTTTGCAAACTTAAAATTTGTAAATTTTGCAACCCCCAAATTCCTGAATTTCCAAATTCTTCAGTTCTTAAATTCCAAGGTGCAAATGAAGGTACCCAATTACTAAATTTCTAAATTAAAAAATTATGAAGTCCACAAGTATTCCAATTCTCAAGTTTTCAACCCCTAAAAATTCAATTTCTCAAATTAAATTTCCAAGTCCTCTTTCTAAATTTCTAAATATTTTTAGCTTGAAATTTTCAAACCCTAAAACCCTAAATTCCCAAATTTTGCAACCCCTAAAATCTTACATTCCCAAATCCCCAAAATGTTAAATTCCTAACATAAAACATTCCAAAGAAATTAAAAAACTCAGGTACACGTTTAAATAAAAAAATTCAGAAATATATTTTATTTAAATTAAAACGTGCAGATATTTTACTTAAATCAAAATATGCAAGTACATATTTTCTTTAAATTAAAATGATCAGATACACATTCTATTGAAATATAATTGTTTAAAGTAAGATTTGAATGGTGGTTCGTTACGAGTCCAACCGAGGGGTTAATTTTGTATTACTCCGTTAACTGACGCAAGGGTTGACCGAAATTTCGTATGAAGGGTTCACAGAAATCCCACCGGTTGCTTTCAACCGGTGAGTGCAGCCATACGAATCGATTTATCGAGCGTGACCAACGTTTTCTACCCTTTTCCAACAGCCCTCTACTCCTAATTGCTTCATGACGCGTATACCACGACCAATTAGTACCGGCGACTTAACGAAATAATTGTCTGCGCCCTATCATCGATTAAACGTCGCGTCGGGAGGGTGCGCAGGTACCTCCGCTATTTAGACTTTAGGAAATTCTTTAGAAAAGAATTTTTTTATTCATTCACTATCGCGATTCTTAAATAAGACTTTTAATATATTAGGGGTACCGAAAAGTATTCAAAATTTCTTCGATGACTTCAAAGCTTTTCAATGAAAGGATTTTTTTTTATAAGCGAATCGAACAGTTGTCTTTACGCTGGTAAAAAACGTTGGAAAATGATGGAAATTATTTTGTTGATTAGCATTTAAGATTTCTTTAATAAATAAATGTTTTTCACCAAAAAACAAAATTTCTTTCGCCCCCAATATATGTTTTTATCACTTGTAAGAGGATTATATTAACTTTCAACAGTCACAATTATAAAATATGCTTTCAGAGATTATTTATAATTTTGTTAAAGTAAGCTTCTTTGTAAGAAACAGTTTTAGTGTCTAGAATTTTGAAAGTTCCAGTATGTGAGATTTTGACGAATTGAAAATTGAAGAATTCAAATTACATAAAACCCGAAATACTTAAATTGAGATTTTGCAAAGATGAAATTTGAAAAACTCAGATTTCGTAAAACTGAATATTAGAAAACTCAGATTTTATGAAACTAAAATTTGAACAATTAAAAATTGATGAAACTAAAATTTGAATAATCGAAATTTTATAAATGTAAACTTGAAAAGATATTTAATTATTTTTAACCCGTAAAAACCTTCAAAAATATATGAACATCTGATATAAAATAGGACGAATCGAAAAATGTACATTTATGAAAAAAAAAGAAAACGGTCGTATCGAGCACATGTTTCAAAAATAAAAGTTTTCGGTTACGTCGGGCATCTGTTCAAATATTGCAGAAGGTTAACTCGAATTGGTGGTTCGATATCTCGATTCAATGACATTGGGAAGTTTGCAAAATTTAAATCCGAGGAATTAAGATTTTAAGTTACAATTTTGATAATCTTTAATTTAAGGATCAAAAGTTCGTCAAACTCCAAATTTTATTAAATTAATATGTAATATTATTAATATTAATGTTATGTAATATTAATTAAATTTTCCCTCTAAATTAAAATTTCATTTTGAAAATTTTCCTCTGAATTAAACTTTTATTCAAATTGAAATTCTAACTGAAAAATTATATTATAAAATTTTCTGCTTATAAACCATGTATTGGTTACTAAAATAAATAAAAATTTAATTTAATAATAATATTATTAGTACAACATAAATTTAATATAATATATGAATTAGTATAATATAAATTTTATCCTGCCTCATAAAATCTCAAATTACTATTAAACTTATAAACAATCTAATAATTAATCTAACAGTTAAATTTCTGCCCAAAATTATTACTCACTAATTATAATAATTATTCACCCAAATTTCTACACTCCTTTTGTAATCATATACTGAAAATAAACAAAACTAATGTGACACGTGGCATAATGCAAATATTCCGATGTTAAAAATACATTTTTATTCAGTGGTGTAACAAATCGTTGACAGGATGTAGTATTTCCGTCGCGGATAAACTTAGAAAACCTTAGAGAATCCCGAATAAAATTTTAACCCCTTCTGCTATATTTAATCAAACAACGTACTCCTTTTATCCCAGTTTCCATTGCAACATTCAAACCTTAGACTACTTCTTTTTTATTACAAAATTTTTGCCCCAAATTTGCAAAGGCTCTTACATAAAACTGAACTTGAAACATGTAAAACAAAAGCGATAAAAAGAAGAGAAATAAATTCAGGGAGAAGTTGATGAGCACACAACCATGATGTTTAATAAAGTATCTTGAATTAGAATAATTAACGTTTCTGTTCTAAAAGGATTTCGTTCTTGAAATGTCATGGCATTTTCGAAACGGGCAAACTGACGTTCATTAACGTACTACAGTGATAAATTTACTGCTTTACCATTTCGATTTTTTACATTTCGTATATTAAATAAGTAACGTTGAGTTTTATCATCGAATTTGTTTATGAAAAGAAATTTATAAATTTAATCATTTACAAGTTATACATTTGTAAGGTATAAGTTATTGTTTACAAGTTATTCTTATTGTTACAAGTTACACATTTGTAAGGTATAAGTTATTGTTTAATAAAAAAGAATAATATATGTTAATTTTTTAATAAATAAGAATAAGAATGTTTCAGATATGAGCAATTTGGAGTATTGTTAAAAAATGTTTTTCGTATTACGAATTTAGGAATTTTGGAGTTTAAAGAAGTTGAAGAAGTAGGGAATTAGGAACCAATGGATTTGTGGGCATAGGGCTGGGAGAATCTACGGATTTGTGGACGTAGAAATTTGGGAAATTAGGGATTTATAAACGTAATGATATTGAGGAATGTAGAAATTAAAGAATATTTGAACTTGAGGAATTAGTAGTTTGGAAAACATGGAATTTGAACATTTTGGGATTTGGAGATTTAGGAACTTGGAAATCTAGAAATTTGGGCATCTTGGGATTTGGGTATCTGGAGATTTGTAGACGTAGCAATATGAGAGATTAGAGATTTGGAACATTTAAATTTGGGGATTTAGAATTTTGGAAATCCAGGTATTTGGTCATCTTGGAATTTGGGGATCTTGGAATTTGGCAATCCAGAAATTTGTAAACGTAGCAATATGAGAGATTAGAGATTTGAAACATTTAAATTTGGGGATTTAGAATTTTGGAAATTCAGGTATTTGGTCATCTTGGAATTTGGGGATCTTGGAATTTGTGGATCTTGCAATTTGTGGATCTTGGAATTTGGGGATCTTGGAATTTGTGGATCTTGGAATTTGGTGATCTTGGAATTTTGGGATCCAGAGATTTGTAGACGTAGTAATATGGGGGATTAGAGATTTAGGACATATAAATTTAGGGAATTAGGAATTTGCACATCTTGAGATTCGGGGATCTTAGAAATTGGGGGTCCAGAGATTTGTACACGAATCAATATGAGACATGTAGAGATTTGAGACATATGAATTTGAGGATTCAGAAATTTGGAAATCTATAGATCTGGGGATCCAGGTATTTGAAGGTCTTAAGATTTCAAGATATAGCAATATGGGGAATATAGAGGTTTAATAACATTTGAATTTGGAAATCTAAAGATTTGGGGATGCAAGGATTTGGAAATCCTTAGATTTGAGTATTCAGAAATTTGGAAATCTATAGATCTGGGAATCCAGGTATTTGAAGGTCTTAAGATTTGAAGACATAGCAATATGGGGAATATAGAGGTTTAATAACATTTAAATTTGGAAATCCTTAGATTTGTGGATCATGAAATTGTGAGGTCCAATAATGTATTTGAAGCTTTAGGCATTTTGTAGACATAGGAATAAGAGTAGTAGTAACAATAGTAGGAATGTAGACTAGGAATTTAAGGACATTCGAATGTGGGGATTAAGAAATGTGGAAATCAAAGAATTTAATCAAAGTTAATAATAATTTGGAGATCCAGAGATTTGGAAATATAAGTATTTGAGGATTCTCAGAATTGAACATGTGATTTGGGATTCCAAGGATTTACACATGCTAAGTTTCCAAGATCCATAACCTTCCGAAGTCCCTAACCTTGAGAATGTCAGAACCTCCACAATTTAAAAATACAAAATAAAGATACAAGGATACAATCTGTATTCGAAAGTTTTCACATTTACAAATGTAAAACGAGAGAATTTGATACTCCTGAATTTTCTACAATTTCCCATTACGAAAATATAGGGATCGATAAATTGTTAAGTATCGTATGTATAGCAATCTAAAGGGAGCGTTGCAGCCGAGTTAAAGCCAGAGTCCGGTCACGTTCTCATCGTAAGCCGTGTGTGCTTCAAGGA